GAAAGTTCCAGAAGAACAGATTTGGCCAAAAACCTTTTAATAAGCGTCCGTCACATGAAAATGGGGGAAATCCGTTTATAAAAAGGAAGTTAGAAACTGAATATGGCGTAGGAGAATTAGTTGCCATAAAAAGAACACAGTATGGAACTGGAATGAAACTTCGTCCTTACAAAGTAACTAAAAAACTTAATCACGGGCGTTATGAAGTAAAGAAAAAAGGTAATCAGGAGGGACCAAACATTACTACGACAGCAGCCGAATACATGAAAAAATTGGGTTCATTCAGGGGCGAATGAAGATTCAGGATAGCCGATTGTGGGATATGGGTATATTAAGGTATTAAGCAGCCTATTTAATTTCATATGGCGACACACTGTTCGGAATTCCACAACCTAGTAGCTCTTTTCCATTAGCCAAAACGCCATATAGAACTGTCTCATTTCACCAAAGAATGTCTATACCCATCACCCTCTTCCTAATAGAAATGGCGCCTTACTAATTAAGTTGAAGTCAGTCGATTGCGAATATTGAAGAGAGAAAGTGTCATCAATAGAGTGCGGAAGTCGTTAAGTTTAATACAAAACCTTTGTTTTTTAATTTACCTTTATATATATCCGAAATAAACATTTGCACTACCCTACATGAGTGTGAACTGACACTTTATTAGGATAAACAACTTCCATCAGAATCCATTCTGATTAAAGAGACCGACAGACAGATAATGGGTTTTGGGGTGAGGGAAATTTTATTGAAATCATGAATGTTACAGTTAATTGATTAAAGTCATTAATGTCACAGTTAATTGTCCATAAATGTGGCCCAGAATCCGCATTTTCTATTTACTTACAGCCTACTCGAAATAAACATTTGAATGCAGGAGAAAAGACCAAAACTCCGTCAAATTAATCCGAACCGATCACTTAAATACTAAGAGGAAACAACAACTTCCACATTTTTAGGAATTCACTGTCATTTACTAATAGAGTTGTAGACCTTTTCGTATTAGCCATATGGAAGGAATCGAAATTAAAAGGCAAATTAGTAAAAAAAACTTACGTCGACCTGCATTGGCATATCTAAAATACGTATTCCTAAGCCTGACTTTCTCATTATCTATCACTTATAGTTACCGTGATATCAGGTTTTCTACCAAAAGCGAAGTCTTCAGAGCTTTGTGGGCATATGAGAGGGTTTGGCTAGATATGGTACCGCCATAAGATACGATGGCATCTCAAGATCATACATATTTAATCTAATACATCTCAATTATTATTTCTATTTCTAAAAGTTTCTGTGGTTTCCGCGATTTTATTTTTCCGTCATTTGGGGGCGTTAGAGTAGATATCCTAAGCCCAAGATCAACGACGTTGTAGACAGAATAGGACGCACCAGATATTTTACAGCACTAGACCTGGTCAGTGGCTACTATCAGATAGAATTGCTAACGAAAGATACCCCTTTTAAGGCATTCACGGCAGAGCGAGAACATTATTAGGTTATTAGAATGCCATTTGGGCTCGCTTACGCCCCACCCGATCCTAACGGTAAATGTTGTTTGGTTTACCTAGATACATTATCGGCCTCTATGCAAGAACATTTCGCTGGTCTAAGTGCAGTTTCAAAAGACTAAGACTAGCAAACTTATAAATACAACCGGACAATTCAGAATTTCTGCGCAATCAAATTGAATACTTAGGGCATATTGTTACCTAAATCGGTATTAACCCCGAAGAAGATCGCCGGAATCAAGGTGTTTCCAATTCCAACTTAAGTCTTTCTTAGGGTTATAGGGCTTGTCGCGGAACGGATTAGGGCTATTGATAGTTAGTCAAGTTTAAATTTAGCGCCGCCAGAGATCGTTATTTTTGTGTGATGATCGGGTTATTCGGTCACCCTAAACGTCCACCACGTAAACCACGGCCACAGGAACTGGAAACCCGGCTAGCACTGCGAGTGTGGCTAGCGTTCGGCAGCAGCCACAGACTCCGAGAGTGGATCGCCGCCAGGAAAGTGGCAAGAAACCTGCAGCTCTTGGCGACCGGGCAGATTACGAACTCCACGACTGTGCATGATGAAGTGCAAGTGGAGGACAAGCAGCGGCCGCCAGAGATCCCGTTGGAGAGGTGCGGCGAATATATCGCCATGTTTGAGTGAAACGATGCCATGTTTGAGACAGCGGTAGATAATGAGTGATAATATGCAAGTTCACTACTATGCCATCCACGTCGCAGAGTGAACTAGGTTATGTTCACCCGCCACGAGAGCAAACACACAATTTGGGCATATCTATACCATCGCCCCATTCATACGGAGTGGCGACGATGAGCATACCTGGATAGACGCCACGAAGACTGCCTTCCCGAGTTCGAGGGTCAGCCGGAGGAAAGCCCAATATTCCTGTGCGCGTTCACAGAAGAACGGCAGTTTTCCAGTGCCACTTGAAGTAGCAATGGACACACAGACACATTTTTACTTGAAAGTAAGGTATATATTTAAAAGTCCTTTTAGAAGTGGGGTCGCTTGGCCACCGCTAAAGGATATCGAATAGTTTTGATATAAGTTTTGACAGAACCGAAGACAGTTGTCTTTATTACTTTTATTCCATCGCTACAAAAAAGAATGAATGAAGAAAGACTTCATTAAATTAAGTTAGTCCCCTTTGATCTTGAATATAAATCAGGTGTTACGCGCCACTGCAAGAGAGCAATATTGGTTTCTGAATGAGAAAACTGTTGCCGGAAGTATCGTTCACAGATGCAACAAAGCACGGCTTAAGCTGATGCAAATAATCACGCCTATTCTTTTATTCCGGGGTAGTCTACTGTGGACTATTTTTAATTCATCACAAAATCTCAGGAAAAAGCTCAGACTATGAGTACAATTTAGTTTTTGGTCGTTCAGCCAAAAATGGCCGTGCACCTTGAATTGGTGAGTGACTTACTCAAAATTTCTAGTCGGTAGATGCCGACCATTCGTTGCAATAATGCAACAAAAGTCGTGGGTGCGAACAATAAACAAAAATAATTGGAAAAATCGATCCTCACAGAAAAAGCAAGTTAAACAAGTAGAATTTACATTCATACCACGTCGCGCACCCTCATTTGAAGGTCTTTGGGAAGCAGGAGTTATGTTATTAAAATTTTTTATGATAACCATATTCAAGAAGCCGACGTTAAAACGAATCTAGCGTTTATTAACGGTCTTTTACTAAATTATCTCTATTTCTATTTTAAGAAGACGTCAAGCTCTGAACTTAAGCGAATTGAGGATGCCGATGAGCTAATGAATTAGGATCTAGGATAGAATTCGACAACTAGTCAAAATGTGCCCATAGCCCAACAACGAGTAAGTGTGCCCCAATCTTGGAGATTTATGTACGTAGGTAACCTTTTCATGGTATTGTTTAAATGCCATTATTCAGAAGTGTCCTGAGGGAATGGCAAGAACCCTAAGTGAAGTATGTTATGGTCAGCCAAAAATAAAACACACACGTAAAAGCGATCTAAGAGCTGAGAGAAGGTAGACGTGATCCAGCAAAGAAATTTTCCAGAACCTCGAGCGCTAAGAATAAATGTGTAAGAAAATTGTAAATGATCAAAAAGATAATAATACACTGTATGCCGACATATCCAACCATAGTGGTCTTACTCACACCTGAGGAACCCGATTGCTAGCCGGAACCCGATCGTTGAATCCCCTATAAAAAGTAGTGACATAACAAGTAATTGTTATACCCGTTACTCGTAGAATAAAAGGGTATACTAGATTCGTTGAAAAGTATGTAACAGATAGATGGAAGCTTTTGCGACCCTATAAAGTATATATATTCTTGATCAGGATCAATAGCGAAGTCGATTGAGCTATGTCCGTCTGTCCGTCCGTCCATCCGTATGAACGCTGAGATCTCAGGAACTATAGCAGATACAACGTTGAGATTAAGCATGAAGATTCTTGAGGTCCCGGGACAGCGCAAGTTTATTATTCCTGCCACGCCCACTCTAACGCCCACAAATCGCAAAAAACTAAAATTGATGAAATCTCAGGAACTATTGCAGCTAGAAAGTTGAATTTCACAAAGTATAATCTTTAGATGGCAACGCATCTTATAGTGGTACTACTATCCGGCCACACCCACCCATACGCCCACAAGGCTCAAAAGACGGTTTTCGGATTTTCTAGAAAAGCTGATATCTCGGTAACTATAAGAGATAGAAAGTTCGGATTAAGCATGTAGGTTTCTATGATGCTCCCAATGCGAATTGTTCTTTTCCGATCAAGCCACGCCCACTCTAACGCCCACAAAACCCGAAAAACCAAAAATGCAAAAATCTCAAAAACTATAAGATCTACACAACCTAGCACCTATTAAGAAGATGCCTCTGCAACTTGCCACGAAGTTGCACCCAGCCACGCCCACTCTAACGCCCACAAACCGCGGAAAACTGTGGCGTCTATAATATTATTATGAATGCCTTCGTTTGATCTTGTGTAACTTATTTCTGTTAATATCTATCGATTGACCAAAGATTTTTCAAATCGGAACATAATTTCGCTGTTTATAAAGAAATTAAGTTATAAGGCCTCACATGGGCAGTGACGTCACTATAAGCATACTCAACTTCCCCTTACTTCCTCTGACAATAGGTGGCGCATTGTGAATTTCCACTAGCAAAATAATATTTTAAAATTTTGTAAAACAGTAACGGGTATCTTATAGTCGCGGCACCCGACTATAGCGTTTCCTCTTGTTTTTTTATACAATTATTCAAAAATCGAACATCAATTTTGGACTCAATCAAAAAGAGTAAGTCAACCACTGATACGCCTTACGCCTTAACACGTTGAAGCACCATATCGTCAATCTTCTAAACGTACATATATGGTATTGGCACACATCGGTATGCAATCGACGATCTCGACTAATGGTTATTTTCAATACTTATACTCTTTTACTATTCGAATAATATGAATAATAAACTAACTTTACAATTTAAACACTCTTTTTGAAATTATCGATGATTGTATTGTGTTTTTACTATTTGCTTTCAATAAGTATCTAACATACATTTTTCTTATATTACTAAAATTTAACTTATGGTTTGTGGGTTGTTATAGTTTTTCTAAGTTTGCATGGAAATATCTAAGAATACTAATCATAAGTATATACACGAGCGCCAGATATTTATATAATATATACAAAATAAAATTAAGTGCTTGGAAACATTTAATTCAAATTTTTAAGTTCTTTATGTTAATATAAGAGTTGTCTCTAGTTAAGTGTACCTCGGCATCCTTGGGCACCGCAGAGGCAAGGTATTTTTTCATCTTCTAATGGAAATTTATAATCGTACGTTATTTCCTCGTTGACGCCAATTGGTTGCTTTGAATATATAACTATCTTCTTTTCAGATTCAATTGTTATGACCTTGGCATAGCAATTCGGCTAGAATCAGATATAAATAAATTACACATAAGAAACACTAGGGAACTAGACTTACATTACAACTGTGATTTATAAATCTCGCCAAGTTTCCACATTTTGTTGCATCGATTATAGTTTCCATGTCGATTCGAAACAAATAAGAACTACCAATTCCAATTGCTTCATACTTGGTTTCCCTTAGATCAGCAACCACAGGTCGAATCATTTGACCAACGTATTCAATAACCATTTCGTCGGAAGCTATAGGCTCCATTGCAAATAATCCCCAGTCATGTATCGCAGATTTGGCAAACTTAAGTTGTTTTTTCCTAAACTTGAGCTGATTAAATTTTAACAGCTCAGATTCACCCATGAAACCAAAGGCTGTCAAAAGACGGCGCTGGTTCGACCGCGCTTCTCGTGATATTCCTTGCATTTTTGATATTATTTTATTATGGTGATGATTGGTAAGTACTGTAGGTTCATCGCTACGGTTTTCATTATGGGAATTCTGTGCATTGGCTTTAGCATGATGGTACTTGTGTTTCGCCTTTTCCCGCACATCTAATTTGTAAAAACCTTCGGTTCGAGCACATCCTGTCCTATGACGCAACAGTTCGTCTTCTGTCCTACGTTTTTTTGGCGGTGGTGGCCAAAAAGATCGATCAGTTGTACAATGATCAATCCAATGGGTATTATTTAAAAACATACTAAAAAAACATATTAAAAAAATTTCTGTTTTTATTAAAAATTACTTACGCGTATGGTTCCTTTTGTAAATGTTCCGAATAACTCATTTTTATAAATTTAATGTCTTCTGCGTCTATACCTTTTGTTAGAAAAGTGTATAAAATTACCATTTCTTCATTCTGGTTCCGAGTTTTAAATATTTCACACGGAACAAAATTGGCTTTTTGTCGCGCCAATTCAGCCAATACATTTGGCATTGGCGCTATTTTATTCCTCATATTTGACATCCGTGGGACGGAATCTTTTTTCTTCCTTTGATTGCGACAAGAATCCTTTCGAGGCCTGCCTGGGCCTGACCTCTCTATTTGTTCAACAATAATAACATTCTCTGGCTCTCTTTCTGAAATGTTTATACTAACAGATGCGACAGGGGAAATATCACCAAAGGTAATTGTCTGTGCTTGCGGCGGCAACGAATAGCAATGCTCTAGCGCAACTTGACTGGCCTGCGATGCTTGGCTAGACCCGCCGTCGGAAGATGCTGGTGATTCAATTCCTTTGCTCACGTCCCTTGAACCATTTGAAACTACATAACCCTCTTTATTAGCGGCCAATTCATTTTTAATATTGGCTTCCATATTTCTCTGAAGAATAGATTCATCTTCAATTACTTTATTCTTACATTTTTGTGATTTTGTTCGATCTAATACATGATAGGAAGCTACCAGACTTTTATCCAAAGCCCTTTCCATATTTTTCTCCTGTTCCTCTAAAAATTCCTTTTCAATTTGGGCCATGTATTCAGTATTTCTTCTTCTTTTTTCCTGATATTCTCTCTCTTCCTCTGAGTCGCTATAAATCCTTGCATATTCAAAAACCGACTTTTGTTTGGAATCTATCCTTTGAATAGCTTCTTCGTTGTATCCAGGTGGCGGAACAGGTGTCAATGAGCGACGAAATTCTTTATTAATTATTAAAGTGCTCTGAAGCTCTGATATGGGGTCACTCTCATTGTCATCCAATCCGAAGCAACTATCTTTACTTATATCTTCGAGATCAGATGGAAATGATGAGACATTTTTTTCTTGTAAAGCAGGCAACAAATTTTTAAAACGGGAATTCCCATTGTCTTCATCAGGATCGGAATAAATATTATTTTTGTTTGCACGCTTCTTTATGTCTTTCTTAAACTCATCAGAATTGGTGTAAATATTTTGTAAGGCATTTTCTCGCAAACTCGCTCGCCTTCTATCCCTACTGTTTTTCCTCCGTTTATTGAGACTATGATCTTCAAGGCTTCCATCTTCACTAGTCCTTTCCTTGTCAACACAATCATTACCTTCATACTCACCTTCACTAGATGAGGAAGATGAGGATGAAAAAAAACTTGAAGCACTTCCTTTTCTTTTTGAAGTTAGTCCTGAAGTTTGCGATTTTCCATCAGAGTCATTGTTCGAAATTTGACCGATTAAGCGTGCCGTTCCAGAACTACCTGCATTAGAATCTTCCTTCTCAGAGTCTGAACATTGTACCATTTCCTCTTGATCACTTAAATCTCTTTCCGAGAAATGTCCTAAACTAGGAATAGGACTAGGATGTTTTCGAACACGCCGAAACGATGGTAACTTAGGCATAGCAGCCCTCAGACCTATACTAGAGAACGATTGAAAGTCTGTCATTTCTAGTTGTGTATTAATTAGATGATTAATGTCAGGAGGCTTCTCGCTTAAAGCGATTTCTTTGGGGCAATTTGAAGCTGTATTAAAGGTGGATTCTCCAATTTCAGATAGTGGTTTCGATCGAGCTTTTAATGTATGTTCGTCCCACCAGTTCTCAAAATGTTTGAATGCAGTTATTTCAATCATCCGCTTATTTACATCTCTTTTTAAAATCTGCTTTAGCTCTTCGACAATAAAGCCTATTACCATTTTTACTTTTTGGTGTATACCGTCATTTTGATCTGAATACGTAGTTATATTGATATCATATGGCTCAGTAAACGTATTAAAACTAAATGAGCCAACTCCTTTCAGGTAACCGGATTGCAGGTAAGCGGCATTTGAAAAAAGTTGGGAAGTTAAAGACGAGTTCGACGGTATACCGGAAGGATAATGCCCATAGCCTGATGTATGATAATAACAAGGATTTTGATCTGATGAATTTGTGTATACATAAGAAGACGGCAATTGTTTCTTATTTTTCGCTACTTTAAGATTCATCACATTTAGAATTGGATCCTCATGAGAAGATAAGCTCGATAATGACATATTATCATCATTTTTTTCCTTTTCATTTGTGAAACTTTGTCTAACTCGGTCTTTTTTAATTATCAATTCTTCATCACTTGATATATCACTTGCGTTAGGATGCTGTAGTGTTTTAAAATCGTTTTCCCATGCCTTTTTTTTATTCTCTGAAATGTTGGAATCGGAATACATTTCAATAGATACATCTGGTTTGCCTTTTTCTGTTTCCGAATCACTACTATCCATTTGTAAAAATGGAGGTGCATTTCCAAACGTCTTTCCTTTAAATATTAAGGCAATTCTAGTATCCAAATCTACGTTTCCTGTTTCAAAGTTTGATTCGGACACTTTTTTTATTGCAGTAACATTAATATTTGTTGATTTTGGTGATTGAAGTGTTGCGATGGCGGAACGCAAAGGTGGCGAATTTATCGTTAGTTTTTCTTGGCCATCATTCCAATTTTCTTCTTCTTCCGGCGGCGGTGGGGGCGGTTGAGGCTTGAAATCAGACTGCGGGGCAGTCCAATTTCTTTGATCGGGCCATGAATGAATATTTTCAATGGAAGAATAAAAATAATTATTGAATCCGTAGCTTTTGTCAGAAAAACTGGAATTTGAAGATCCAAAACAGTAATAATGACTTCTTGTGTTTGTAGAATTTCTCACATCAACTTCGTTATATTCATGCGAGGAATAGCGCTTATAATACTTGCACAGATCTTTTTGATCGTATTCTTTTGATCGGCTGCGTCCTCTTTCGCGATACTCTCGATCTTTCGATGAGTTATAGCGATGTTTTATTTTTTCTTTAGATTGACCTCGGCCTTTGTCGCGACATTTTTTAGAGTCACGCAATGAATCTCGCTCCCTAGAACGACAATAATCATGGGATCGTAAATCTGGTCCTCTCGATCTTTCTCTTTTAATAAAGGATCTACCATGTGGAATTCCTGGGCTGATATCCCTAGACCTCCGACAATAAAAATTTCGATCATTTTTTCCAGCGGTTGTAAACTTTTCTCTTATTACACGATCGCGATCATAACTTCGCTCTGATGAGTGTCTACTATGTTCTTGAAAGTGACGTTCTCTTTCCAATTCCTTTACGCGATCCCAGTTTCGTTCCCTGCTTCGATCTTCACTTTCAGTAATAATTTTTATAGAGCTTTTTAAACACTTTGAATGATCTATGGAATCCTTTACAAGGTATCTGTGGATGAATTCGTCATCGTGTGAAGCAGTTTGCTGCAAAGTCAATTGAGGCGCTATTATTGCACCCGTTAATGGTTTCGCAACAACCGGATTTGTAAGGCTTTCAAGAGTTTTTTTTAAAATAGTTCCAAATGGGTCGCAAAATACATTTAAGACCTAAAATATTTATATTAGAATTGGAAAAATACTATAAATATTCACATTACCTTTCCCATTACCGATTTGTCATTGTATTTTTCCACAAATTGTCTTGCTCCTTTTGTACTCTCAAATACAATACGAGCAATACCCATGTGTTTGTTTGTAATTGGATGATAGTAAATATTTATTTCATTAGAAGTACCGCATTTCTCGATCATGCTAGAAAGAAACTGCTTGTCGATGTTATCGTTCAGGTTGATGATAGTAACTTCTATTGCAGGTGGCTGGCCAACATAGTCGGAATCGATGACAAATCTACGGTGAAATATTATGGGTTTCACTTACACTTTTATAGTGTATTAATCTTACCTAGGAATGAGAAGGAGAAGTGGCTCAACTGCCTTGGCGCGTATGCGAATTAAAGGATTTCGCGGATCTCTTGGTGTTATCGCTGGATATGCTGAATCCCCGGGCACGACTCCATCGTAACGATAGAGCCTGGCCCCGCATTTTACTAATTGTGGATCAGCTAGCAATTTAAAGTTGCGGGGCATTTTTGTGCTGGACAAAAATGTAACATGGTTGCTGCCGGAACTACTGATGATGGTATTATCACGACTTTCCTGCATCTGTATTCACATACAACTCCTATTTTTGCCTGTAAATGAGCAAACGAAAAGTACACAAAATAGTAAACCCTTAAATATTTTTTTTGCCTAAGTATGAAGTTTTGTATACCAAAATCAACCAACTAAAGAAGTTTATCTTTGCTTTGTTTAAACACATGTTTGACATCAATCAGTCACTTGCGTTTTAAAATAATTAAAAATGATTTAAATATGTCTATCTGACGTGTTAAACAAAGAGTTTATTTGGTAAAAAATAAGGGTAGTTTGAATTTGGCTTTAATTTATCTTATCGTTCGTTTATTGGTCGGTTATAGCATCAACAAATGCCAGTTAATAAAAAATAATTCATAAAAATATTTGTAAAACCAAAAAAATACACAGAAAAGAGATCTCTTACTTGTAAAGATGATATTTTTTGTGATCGATTTTCTTACTACACACATTACTAAAAATTATTTAACAATTAAAACAGCTTAATTCCACTGTTACGTGATTTTATAGACATTGCGACAGCCATATAAAATTTAGTATGTGGAAACATTTTTAAGGGTGTTCACATAAGTCACTTCTGATTAAAAGACATTAGTTAACATACAATAATTAAAACCAAAATAAAGGGAAAACAGCAATGAAGTATGCAAGTAAAAATTTACACCTTAGGCCAAACTTAAATATACCATGCTTCCGGCCAGAATCACAAACATCGTTTAAGAAGTTAATTGAACTTTGTGGAACCAATTCAAAATCTAAATGACGATGAAATATTTTAGGATTTATAACAAAAAAGCTGAATGGAAAATAATTTGTATTAGAATTGCGCAATTGTATTGTAAATAAATATTTTCATTTATATGAAAAGAACGAAAGAAAAAATTCTTTGCTGTGTGCTTGCATGTAATTAATAACTAATAACCTTAATATTTTCATTTATATGAAAAGAACGAAAGAAAAAATTCTTTGCTGTGTGCTTGCATGTAATTAATAACCTTTTGTCTATAATATATTTGTATAAGTCTACAATTTTTTTTTTAACTTAACCATACTGATCACATTGCTTAACGATCAATAAAAACGTGCCATAATTTTTAAAAATGAATAAATTGTGCACATTTTGAATTGCTAGGCTTAATGTACCATCCATATCAATTCGCAGATGGGTCGCAAAGAATTAATGAGTAGCTCATTGTCGTCTATATGTAGATTGTGCTCCACGGGATAGATACATAAAAGCATAAGCAGATTGGACTTCATCATATTAATAACTATATAATTTTAATTATTTTAACAATTTAATAGTGATCATTTTTTCCGGAGTAACTAGCTTAAGTATGTAAGTTAACACAGTTACACAGTAACTTATAAGTCGGTACAAATCTTGGGTGTTTCTCGGATCACCCTACTGCCTTTATGTGCAGACCAAGCATAAGTCGCTTTTAAGCGCCGTGCCTGGTTCCCGGCATGGTGAGTTAAGCATCTTCTGCTAGTGTCAGTATTTTTGTATTACATGCGTCCGGCTTGCCGGCCACGTACAGTTTTTAAGTTCAGTTTGATTTTGATATGAATAAAGAGAGCATAGCTCTATTAAAACAACTCCAGCGAAAGCTGTATAATTATTGAATTGGTTATGGAGCCTCAAGGGCCGTTAATAACGGAGAGAAGTTCTCACACCAAATTTTTGCAATATTCAGGAACATTGAGCCCGCCAATAAAGGAGGCCAGCGGAACACCTGAAGAAGAGTTCTCCATCCCACGTCATCGCCCATCTTCACGGACTGCGGCGAGGAGCGGCACACTCACACCAAAAAGATAATTTGTATTTTACAAAGTGAGAAAAGTCAAGGAAGGTGTAAAAGAGTGTCAGTTTAATTTTTGACAAACTGTTATATGGAAAAATACACTTCAAGCGCACTAGTACACTTTATAGTTAAAAACCAGCCTAGGCAGAACAATTTAATGTTTACTAGGGCGCCCCCTGAATTTGTTCGGCACGCTTGCCTTTCAATGAGAAGGGTGGTCATCGCGATGGGTATGTTTAGGTTTCTATTCAACCATTAGGTGCGTAAACGATGCCCATGTAAGAAGCATGTACAATGTAAGATCGTGCGGTGGCAAGCCTGTCAAATCGAGAACTCATTTGGGCACTTGACAACTTCGTCCTGATTCATCACAGTAACGATGGATTTATATGTTGTCATTTCGCCATCAATTCACACATGAACCGTCGCCGTATGCAGACGTGTATTTTATTCTGCTCCGGGAAAAAGCTAAGCCCTCTAAACTCTCAACGCAAAATAACCCGTGGCAATGCTAACATAGCTGCAATAGAAAAGCCCACTAACTCAACCCGTTTTTAAATCTTGGCAGAATATGAGGATGATGCCGAATCTACTGAAGTCGAAAAAAGGAAGACTAAGCCCCCGCCAATTTACATACGAGAAAAAAGTTCTAACGTTCTTGTCAACAAAATTATAGACCTTATTGGCAAGGACAATTTTCACATAATACCACTCGTAAAAGGCAACATCCAGGAAACAAAAGTTCAAACGAAGTCTGAAGATAATTACAGAGTATTATCGAAATATCTCACCGACAAAAAAAAGAACTTTTACACGTATCAGCCAAAAAGCAGCCTGCAAGCAGGGCCTGCTAGTCGTACTTAAGGGCATAGAGTCCGAAGTATTGCCTGCAGAGATAACAAAGGCGCTACGAGAGAAGTGACTTAGCGCTAAGACAGTCTTTAATATTCTTAACAGGGATAGAAAGCCGCAGCCGCTCTTTAACGTTGAGCTCGAACCAGAAATTTAGCCCCTAAAGAAATACGAAGTACACCCTATATACAATCTTTAGTTCCTGCTGCACCGCAGAATTACGGTTGAGGAGCCGCACAAACGCAATGGCCCGGTACAATGTGTGAACTGCCAAGAATTTGGCCATACAAGGTCTTACTGTAAACTGCGCCCAGTGTGTGTAGTTTGTGGTGAGTTTCATGATTCCGCACACTGCCCAGCGAGCAAAGATGACCACAACTCAAAAAAGTGCGGCAACTGCGTTGGAAATCACACTGCTAACTATAGAGGTTGCCCAGTTTATAAGGAGCTGAAAAGACGAATCCACCAAAGCTAAGTCCTCATCTCAGCGATGAAGCCAACGTAGACAGTTTTGTTAATTCACAGGAAGTATACGAGTATTAGCTCACACATTGAGCTAAGTCCTCAACTCAGCGATGAAGCCAACGTAGACACTGGAGTCTGAACTCGTCTCTGCAGCTCGAGTTTCAACACCTCATACTAGAAACACACAATGCAATCAAAAAAACTCAAATCTACAAATCGAAAAGTACTGGCGATTTCACAGATTGCCATCTGCTAAGCAAAGCTTAAAACATGCCTCACGTCAACTTGATCAAGCTCTACAGCTAGAAGAAACATATGTCCACCGCCGCTACATTGAGCAATTGTCAACTAATAGTACAAAACACTCACTATGGAGAGCTCACCCAACTCTGAGCTCTGAATCCGTGATGCCTATTAGAAATTCCACAGGCGGCTGGGCGCACAATGACGCAGACAGAGCCAGCACGTTTGCCAACCACCTTAAAAATGTCTTCCAACCAAATCCTACCACTAATGCGTTTACTTTGCCGACTCTATCATATGAGCCCCAGCCTCAACATGAGCCAATTGAGTTTCGCCCAAACGAAATCGTAAACATCATCAAAAGACAACTGAATCCGAAAAAAATCCCCTCATAACTCCAAAATGATAATTGAGCTCCTATACTGCGCCATTTGCACTCTCACCCAGCTCTTTAATGCCATCGCAAAGCTTGGCCACTAGTCCAGTGATATGGAAAAGGTCAATTATAATAATGATAGCAAAGCCGGGGAAAGACCACACTATCCCCACGTCATATAGACGTGCCTATCTAAACTCTTTGAAATATGCCTAATGACTCGGATAAACACATACCTGAGAGTCCAGAAAGGAATCCCGTCACACCAATTTGGGTTTCGTGAAAAGCATGGAACAATTGAGCACGTCAACCGGATAACATCAGAAATTCGAAACGCTTTCGAAAAACGAGAGTACTTTATTACACTCTACTCCCACAAGCAAACGAAGTAACATACCTAGGAGTACATCTTGACAGATGACTCACATGGCGCCTGCACATTGAAGCCAAAAGAACACATTTAAAGCTAAAAGCCAGCAGCCTTCATTGGCTTATCAACGCCCGGTCACCTCTTAGCCTTGAATATAAAATCATGCTGTACAACTCGGTACTAAAACCTATATGGATGTACGGCTCCCAGTTATGGGGGAACGCCAGCAATAGCAACATTGACATTGTTCAGAGAGTTCAGTCGAAGGTCCTGAGAACAATCACCGGGGCGCCGTGGTACGTTCGCAACGAAAAAATACACCGCGACTTAAACATTCAAAGAAGTGATCTCAGAACAAAAGGTAAAGTACTTCACCAAGCTATCGGTGCACCCTAACCACCTGGCGAGAGGTCTAACAAGGTTGAGCAACCAATCACGCCTTCGTCGCAATGACCTACCCACCCAGCGACCGACCTGAGGGACGCGCAACCAGAATGCAGTCTTAGTATACTGTTAGTTAAATTTTAATGTTAAGATTCGTCACCTTATTGTTAGTCTCAAAATTATGAGTAGATTCAATAAATAAAAGCAAAGCTATATAAAAAAAAAATTCGCCAGGTATTCCATTCGTAATAGTAATGTTGATGGTATTGATATCAATGTTTTTGGCCGCCAATATAGCACGCGTACTGAGCTATATTGATTTTTTGAATTCTGTGCAATGTTTGGAAAAACATTTAGCACCAAGTCGTATAAGCTTTCTGTGATTTTACAGAAGTTTGTTGGCAAGGTGATAATTTGAGTTTAATTTGCATTCTCCCATTTCCAGTATCAATTAATTGTTTTGCAAATATTTCTCCCGATGCATCACGTTATAGTTGTACAGTCATGGTGGTCAAGTCAATTTTTGTAAATAATGCTATAAAATGTATGATTTGAGACATGCATCAGGTTGATCAGCAGGTGTTAAACGTGGTATAACCGGCAGTATTTGTCGAAAATCACCAGGCAATAAAATGAGTGCTCCACAAAAATCCGTGCGTTTCCTCTTATATCTCGCAGTGTACGATCAAGCCCTTCCAATGCTTTTTTGTGGGACATTGTACATTCGTTCCATGTAATAATTTGCCACGTTTTGAGAACTTTGCTCACTCCAGAGTTTTTGTTAATGTTACATATTGGATCCTCAGTGTTTTGTAAATTTATTGGTAGCTTCGAATGCTGAATGCGCTGTTCGACCACCTTCCAAAAGAGTCGCCGGTATTCTAGATCATTCCATGG